CAAACCTACAGTCCCTATCTTGTACGTAACCCAGCGACTGCTTGTACTGATATTACCCCTATTCAGTTTAGTATTGAATAATGTGCTCAATTTTTTGTACTAGTTGGATATTAGAAAACCACTTCAATATGCTCCATAAATAGCTGAACAACTCAATGCTTAATTAAACCTTCTGAGGGCCCACCATCAGAAGTTTCAATGGATACATTTACAGGGGACAATCTAAGCATCTTTCTCCTCTTTGCTTCTGTGAGGGTCTGCAGGCCAGGAAAACAGCAGAATTCATGTTGAGAAGAATCTGAACACAACATTTGATTTAAGGGGTTATTATGTCAACTCCTGCCAAATCCCTAGATATGTTTCTTAGATGCTTATAAACGGGACAATTGCAGGAAGCCTTCTAAAATGGTACAGTCTTTCTTTAAATGTTTCACAACCTAATTTATGGCAACATCTTCATTTTCCATCAGATTTCTGAACTGTTCCCAAATCTTTTCCAGAGCAATATAATATGCAATGTTGCACTGGGAAACAGACCACATTTCACCCAAGGTTAAATTGATGCAATGCGACACTGCCATTGAGGGGCCATTCATCCTCTTATCCTCTAATAATCACCTGTCATTCTTCATTAGATTCATGCAAGTTAAAATCTAACATGTTGTGACAAAATTGTGTAATCAGATAAATGCAAAGCAAACAGTCTGCCAACTTGGAACAGTAACCAAGAAATGTTGGGACTCACTCCACAAACTACCCCAGCTGCCAGCAGCACCATTAGGAGTGGAGTGAAGTCCATGGATATAATAGGCAATGGGAATCAAAAGCAAATCTACAATTGATATGTCTTTCCAAATGTTTCTTACATGTGGGTGTGAGTCAGACTCACTATTTAATTGAGGTTTAACTGTACCTTCTCCAAAGGATAATTCCAACTGGTATTACATTAGAGATCTATTTCATAGCAACATATGGTATGGACAGGTTTTCAGATGTATTTTTTTTTAAGGGACTGCTTCTTCCCTATTGTGTGGAATATAGTGTGCCTGCAAGTGGATTTGACAGTTAAAGATTTTAAAAGCAGTCTATGGAATTAAAACACTCCTTCTATTAGGTGTTGATATTTTATGTCCTATAGCTTGTGTTTTAATTGCACTGCATAGTATGGGTCCCTCCTGACTAACCTCATACCCTACTGATATTATGAAGAACTCAGTGCTCATTAACAAATTCCTTTTCTTCACAGATCTTTGCTGACATTATTTTAAAGCACCAGAAGTCAAATCCTGCTCTTAAGTACTGTGGACTCACAACTGTGCAAGGGGAAACAGAATTCACTTTTTGTTGCTTAATACATTGCTACGGTGTAACAATACACATTCGCGAGCTTTCACTAGTACATCGAAATGAAGTCATTGCTAAAATGCTTAACTGACATCTCTAATAAATGAGAACTATTTTACCTTTCTCCTCCCCATGCAAATGTTTTCTTTTGAAGCATTTCCCCTTTTGTTTTGAAATGCAAGAAAATCTGACCTCTATCAACTCTAGCAAGTTTTTTAATACTCCACAGCACCTAAGGAGAGGTTGTTAATCTCCAGTCCCAAACTCATCATTTTAAAAATAAATTTGGACAGCACCTTCCAACCCCAAAGCACTTCACCGATATTGTATATACCAGCACCACTGAAATACAGTTACCTGTGTGGTGGAGGATGAGCGCCAACTGGTGCATAGAACTTGGTGCCCAGGGGCGAAGATGGAGGAGGAAATTCCACCAGGAATAGCAGGGCAAGTCCTTCATTTGGCTGGTGCTATGTGGCCTTTGATGTTCAGACAGAGAAAGCAAAAAACACAGATTTTTATAAAGAATCCCAAACAATAAAGGATTGAAAGCTAAGTCAACCCTCTTAGGAAGGCAAATTCAAAATTATTAATAGGAAATACTCTTCAAACAAAGTACAATTATACTGTGGAACTCACAAACAAATTCTTGGCTTCAGTGAGATTCTAGCAAGATTAAAGGAGGGACTGCCCATATATATATGGATAAGACAAATCTTCAGAGTTATTAGCAGATGACCACATTTGCCTTCCATGGTGTTTTTGATCCTTTTTCTGACAGCAGTTAGTACCAAAGGCTTCAGAGACAGTATGTAGGACTAGATGGGCCATGGCTCTGATCCAGTCCAGCAATTCCTACATTCCTATATTACAGCGTGTTTAGGAATTCTTTATCTGATGCTTAAGCTACTAAGCCAATCCTCTATAGGATGTTTCCCCAGCTGGAAACTTCTAATATCCTCAATACAAGCTATTATAACTTTTCTGATTTAAAAATATTTTACATATGTCTATTTAAGATTACTGCAAGTCAGTAGCAATTACCCTTCACTTCCCAGGTGTGTGGTTTGTAATTCACGTGTAATGATTATTCCATCAAGGATTATTTTAAAATACTATTTTACTCTGAAAAAGTGACTCTATAAAAGTGGCACCATGTTTGTTGTGTCTCTGATTTCATGTGAACTGGATTCAGTTTCTAACTTAAAACAGACTTTCTCTGGCAGCTTGGCAAACTTAATGTGAGCTCCAAGACCCAGTCCTCCTCTATGGCACTAGTAATAGACATTCTGCAGGACAAATTAAGTCTTCAATGACATCTATAGAATCTCACTGCTTTTAGTAACTTTGCACAGAGCTAGTAGTCTGGAACCTAGCAAACAAGTCTGAACACAATGCACAAGGAGGAACAGAATCATGATTGTGTCTGCTAAGCTGTGTTGACTACCAAGAATAAAATCAGTGAAACTTTGTGTCAGGAGTGCAACTCTGAACAAATTAGGAGCAAATCTATTAAGAAGGTGCTACTTTCATGTATTTAATTTTTAGAGTAGAACTCCATTTCAAAACACTTTTATCCTGAAATATTAAATAAAAACATGTTACAGTTTTATCCAATAGTTCTGCTTGATGGTACATATCCTAGGATGTGCATTGTCTCTGAATACTAAGAGTAGCTGTAATGGCTTAGTATGATTCAGCTGGCATTGAAATAAATTGCAAAAAAACTCGCACTGTGTGTAAATCTGGCTTCACTGTGGGCCTCCTGTTGCTGCCTATACAAAATATTTAGGCAAACTGTGAAGGAGATTCTTAAATCTTCTCCTGTTTTGTCTTACAGATGTACAAAACACCTAGGCAATGCTATATAAAACTTCCACTATCTCATGAGAAAATTAAGATTGAAATAAGCACTCTATAGTCAGAAAATACCAAAGATAAGACTGCGTAAACATACTTCTACCACATTATGTCCAGGCATTATTTATATGACCCACTAGCACCACCACAAGACTCCTCCTATACATAAGCTCAACATACACGTTTACTTCGGATTTCCTGCTTTAGAGGTTTTTTTTTAAAATACAGGCTTATGATATTTGTGATGCTCTGATTCAGTGTCATCTGGGAATGGGTGGTACTAAAGGAGATAAAACTTAAACAATGGTCCTGCAGCATCTTTGAGTCTAACAAAAAATGTAGATGGTATCATGAGCTTTCGCAGGCACCATCCCATCATTCATCTGAAGAAGTGGGTCTGTGCCCACGAAAGCTCATGATACCATCTACATGTTTTGTTAGCCTAAGGTGCTGCAAGACCATTCTTTTTTTTCCCCAGTTACAGGCTAACATGGCTACCCCCATGAGACTTCTAAAGGAGATAAGATATAAATTCAGGACATGTGTGACAGCTAGAGCAGAACACAGAATAGGTACCAGTAAGACTTATCAGGCCAACCTCTTCATTCAAATCTTTCCTTAAAATATATGTTTTTGATCATCCACTAAAGACAGACATGTACCATTAAAAAAACTTCTATGGCTTTCAGATAGGTCATTGGATAAGGAGCTAAGGGGGTAGATAGTTCTACAGCCACCATAAAAACTCTCACTGGCAATAATGGGTTTAGGGTCAGGCTACAGCCACCATAGAAACTCTCACTGGCGATAATGGGTTTAGGGTCAGGCTCTGTGCATCTGAACTGCATTATCTAATAGAGAACCCAATCTTGCAGTTGATTCTGGATGACTGTCAGGCAGACTGCCACACCTGAGTGGAATGCAATGGACAACACTGGAGGTACTTACAGGTACAAGGTGCTCTCACCTAGGCCATGTTTATATTTACTGCAGTGGAGATGGCTCTTCTAGCATTCAATTTAGCGCTTTTAGTAAGGACCTGCTGGGAGTGCCCCAGTCGACACCAGTACTCCTTGATTTGTGAAGTATAAGAGAAGTTGACAGGAACAAACCTCCTACTGTGGAGATGGCACCAAGGTATATTGACTACAGCTACGTTATTTACATACCTGGAGTTGCGTTCCTTAAGCTGACCTTTCAGGTGTAGTATAGACCTGGCCCTAGTGTCAATAGCAGGATTGGAGCTTTAGGATCAAGTATTGGGAGTCAGGGAGCAAATCTTACTCTGGTCTACATAGTGATCAAGTTAAGGACACAAGACACACTGGATATTGCAGACAAAATACATTTTTATACAAAAAATTCTTTATTGGCTGTACTACAAATAGCTGTACAGAGTGTAAACTTTACTGTATCACCTGACAGTTGAATAATTTTGGAGGAACAGTTATTAAGCACCTTCATTTCAGCACATTTTTGGTATTTACAGTTTTAAGACATATTAATGTCTTAAATACAATGTGAATACAATGAATTAAAAGTTATAAAAAGTTACACAAAACCCTTTATATGGAGTTTAATATTTTTGTGATAAATACATAATTAAAAAGAAAATGGTCAGATAGTTCAAGCTCAAAACTGGCTTGGCTAAAACAATATTATAATCCAGAGGAAAATGGCTTCGATTTTTTTCCACTATAGCTTGGGGTTTTTATTGTAATTTATCTCTGAGACCAAGAGATTATAAAGACAGCTATTTGGATACATAATTCTCATGATCAAGTTTTGTTCTTCTATTGCAAATAAGCTACCCTGCCAGTAGCAACAGGAGCAAAAGTTAAATCCTGTTCCCAGAAATGGTCGGTGGTAGCGGGGCTTTTTTAAAGTGTTTTATTATTAGAATGTGTAATTTGTTGTGAAATCTGTGCTGGATTTTCCCAACTGCTCTGCATGCATTGCTGTCAGGGGAGTCATGCTCCATCTTCACATTGATTTCCAGCATAGATGTTTTGCCCTTGCTGTAAACAAACACATGAACAGGGCGCTTTTTAAAAAAAAATTTTTAAAGCCCTGTGATATTATCAAAAGTATTGTCTAACAAATACTCAACTGTCATGGTTATTTATGGTGTGCAAGAAAACAAAATATCCAGGATTGTCAAAAGGGGAAAAAAATTGGTAGGGCAAAATTGAAATGTCATTTTTAAACTTAAAAAAATAACACCACAAAAATAGGAAATTGAAACACTGTTTAAAGAATCCTTCATAGCATCCCTTTGAAAGTATCACCAATCAATCAACATTCTTTACTGAGTAACTGAAATTGGGATCTATATCCCAAGTCCCAACTTTTAGAGATATCTAAAAGCTATTGATTACCTGTCTACTAGCACCACAAAAAAATAAATCTCTTATGGGAAAATCCAGGGAAAATTTCACAATACCCACTAAAGTTGTGCTGGCATTAAGATAATTGCACACAGTATAAGAAGGCACTATCAACTAGTACAGGAGCTATACCAGTACTAAAGCATACTGGTTAACTTCCTGTAACATTATTAACAGCCATAAAGCAAAGGCTTGAGAGAGGAGCTTTAAGGTATAAACTTAATGTTGCCAATTAATGTTCTTACCCCCTCACTGACCACTCTTTGAAGCCCAGACTTACTGCCTAACTTTAAGGTGAATTTGCAACCCAGTGCGCTTATGCTGGGCTACAGCATTCCATTCTGTGGCTTAAATCACTGTGTGCACCAATGCACAGGAATCAGCGGTGCTGAAAATTCCAATCTCTCATGCACATCGGGATTCAAGACACCCCATAAAACACTATGCACAATAATTTCAAAGGGAAGTTCAGAGCCCAGCACATGAGCAAATGAGCCCCCATGCTCCTCTTTAAAAGCAAGAACGTGATGCTGCATGGAGTGGGATCTCTCTGGGCAGCACAGACTTACCTGAATGCCACCATGCTATGGGGTGGGAGGGTGGGTGGGTGTGTGTGTGTGGTGGCTTGCCCCCTGTAAGCAGCATGGAGCTTATCTTTACTGTCTTCATTTTATGCCAAGAGCTGTGAACTATTTACAGTACTTTTCCAAAGGGAGACTCTGTTCTCACACATTTCCTGGTTTAGCGCTCAGTTTCTTTCTATACAATCCACTCCAACCGTGTTGTCAGGACAGCGGCAAGAGCGGCTTTGTGGGGTGGCCAGGCATAAATGAGTACAGCCTCCATTATTCACCGTGCAATAGTTATGCCCTATAAAAGAACAGGCACTTATATATAACAAAGGCTTGTAGGGTAAATCAGTTCACAGAAGAAAAAACAGGAACATTACAGAAAATAAAAACCACCCTAGAATTAGAGATGCAACTGCTTTACTTTTGGTTTCTGACTGATGAGATCCTTAGTGCGTATCATCCCTAATACCCATCAGATACCAAGTACCAATCTGGGTATCATGCAGTGAAACAGGTAGCAGGAGTTTGGAATTGGGGATGATGTCACAATGGGTGGGGAAAGGCCCACAGAGAGCAACAGTGATGGTACAGGAAAGGAAAAGAGTTTCTAAGACTGGTTACAGGCAACACGAAAGATTATACTTAAAATATACTTAAAATCAATTGCACAGAGAGAAAAGGAGAGGATCAAGTCCAGAACCCTCAGAGACATCATGCACATAAGCAGAAAGGGGAGATGAGGAGCTATTAAAGGAGAGGGTGAAGGAAGGAGAGGGCAAAGGCGTATTCAAGCAAAACAGAGTAAGTGAGAAAAGTCAGTGAGTGCTGGAAGCCAACGGGAGGATGTGGAAGAGAGTATATCAAAAGTAGTATATGGACCAAAGCTGACGAGTTCACAGAGTGGAAGGTCATTAGTGACAATGTTTCACTTTAATGATGAGGGAGCAGCCAGATTTGAGGAGCCTGAGACAGCAAGAGTTACCTGTATCTCTAGGCTCTGAGGGGCAGGGAATTGGGATAGTATTTAGAGACGAAAGTCAGATTTAAAAAAAAAAAAAAAAAAAAAAAGGACACAAAAACACGTTTGAAGAGAGAGACAGAAACACACAGATATGAAGCACAACAATGAAAGCTATCTGTGAAAAAATGTGAAAATCTCAAATTTATTTAGATGTTTCTCTTTGGGACAAGGACACTCTCTTTGTTATATAACTACATTGCTTAGCACAGTAGGGCCGTAAGGTGCTACTGTAATATATATTAAAAACATTTAAACATGTTTCTTCTTATATACTGCAATATGTATAAAAACCATGTAGCAAGGGGAGAGCACTATACACGCATTCTTTTTCATGCTAAATAAACACCTACATTAAATCACTCCAAATCAAGAGTAAAATATCCTTTAAACCCAAGCCCTGTCACAAAAATATACCTTAGATTTTGTTAGTCTTTGCTGGAAAGAAAAATCTCACAAATCTAGCATCTAGCATTCTAAAAACAGCCAGACTGAAATTTGGCCAGAAATAACAAGACCAAACAGTGGCATTATTTCCCAGAAAAATAAAAATTGTTATTTCAAGGATATTAATTTCATCCTTCGAGCCTCTGTTGCTCAAGTTAAGTATGAAGATGAGGAGAAATAAATAATGCTGTTCCTCTGAAAAGAATGACCATCACTATTACCATATTTCCAAAATTCACCAGAGACTTTTGGAATGCATGAATATTTAATTATATAAACTCAATGATTTCACCTATTTTATCACCTACGGCAGCCTTAACTCTTCCTTTTCTAAAAACACAGGATTATTGAGCCCAGTTAGAAGACCAAGATACTACTATAGCTATGAGCTTAAAATAAAATGAGGCCTAACTAATGCCACTGGGGATGGATAAAACAATTTGTTTACTTGATTGACAATTGTGTGTAATATTATAAAGGTGCCTAAACTATTTCCATAGCGTAGATCCCATCTTAAGGGGCAGCGTCTTATGCAAACAGCTGCCTTCCCATTCATGACTGAGCAAACCGCTGCCTCCTCTCCCATTCATCACTCAGTAACATTCCTCTGGTGGCGAGAGCAATTGCTTACATGGAAAGAATTGTATTTTTAGCATCTGTTAATGTTAAGAGATGGAAGCCATGTGACCAGTGTGCTCTACGCTGACCAATAGCAAGTACTCTTTGGGCCACTACTTTGGGAACTACATACAGGTGACTTAATTCATATTCCATAACTACTGGAGAAACATAGGGATTTTGCGATTACCTTGTGGGCACTGAGCAAAAGCTGTGGTTATTCCATAAAGACGGGAACGTTTGTAAGGCTGGAAGTTATCGTTTTCTTTTGAAATTGTGCGATCCACAGCTACAACAGCATCCCTACAGTATACAAAAGAAATGTTTAAAGGTAAGTGAGAGCTATCCCTTAAGATGACCTCAGAATTGAAAAAAAGTAGAAGAGGAAGCACCAAATACCTTATTACATTTTAGCACCCTGCCTGCTTGTAATGCTGAAATATACAGGATGAGCAGAGGGATAGCCAGCAGCCTCACACGTGACCCAGAACTGCTTGTTATAGAATCCCACTTTTTCTGGACAATCCTAATATGCCACAGCCCTGATTCTGGGGAACAGAAGAGGGATCTCCTAGAACGGTGGTCATCATCTGGTAGATCGCGGTCTACTGGTTGATCGCAGGGACTCTGAGTCGATCTATAGCTCCTTCTGGACTGCGCGCCTGTGCACAACTAATTTTGAATTGATACTCTGTGCGGAACAGCTACTCATGGAGCAGCAACACGTGTGAGTAGCTGTGGTGGGATCTGTTGAGTCAGGAGGGCTGAAACACCCTGGCCAGCTGGCTATGGCAGAGGAAGCTGCGCCGCACTCCAGCCGATTGGTCCGCTTTCCCTCTGCTCCGGCCCATGTGGAGCGTGGTGCACCCTGTCTGAGTGCCATGGCCAGCTGCCCGGACAGGCGATCCTCTTTGCTCCAGCCCAGCTGCTCTGCGCTCAGCCGGGGGAGGTTGCGCCATGCTCCTGCTGGCCGGGAAGCCCTTCCTCTTTGCTCCTGCCCAGCTGGAGCAAGGTGCAGCCTCCCCGGGCTAAGTGCGGTGCAGCTGGGCTGGCGCAAAGAGGAGCAGCTGCCCGGCTAGCTGACCATGGTGTTCAGTCCAGGTGTACCACGCTCTACCTGGGCTGGAGCAGAGAAGTTGCCCAATTAGCTGGAGTGGGGCGCAGCCTCTGCTTCTGCTGAACATCGTGGCTAAGCAAAGAGGAGGGCTGCCTGGCCAGCTGGTCATGATGTTCAGCCCAGGTGCACCCTTCTCTGAGGGAGGGGGGAGTCGGCTCCAGAGGAGGTGCCCGCTGGGGCTTCTCTGCTCTGTGGTGGGGGAGGGAGGAGTCTTGGGAGGAGGCGAGTGCAGGGGACTCCCTGTTCCCATTGGCCCCCTGCCCCAGAACCCTGCCCCCGCCCCAGAACCCTGTCCCTTGCCCCCACTGCCACCCTGTCCCAGCACCCACTAATACCCTTTCCCAGTACCATGTCCCCTGCTCCCACCAGCACAGTTGGGGCCACATTAGTGATCCTTTGGAGTTTTGGGGGGAGGTTTTTTTTTAATCCCCCTTGTGTGGCCCCAACTGAGTTTTCTGAGAGTCAGTGACCCCTGACTCAAAAAGGTTCCCTGCCCTTCTCATAAATAAAGACAATGCAGAAACTTTTTGTGCTTGACATAGTATTTTATTTAAAAATGAAGTCTGGCCAACAAACCCCCAAGTGGGGCCAAGCCCTCATCTGGCCACAGCATTATAACACTCCTGAACCCACCAGACACTAGATCTGAGCCTATCATACACTGGAACCCTCTGCCCTGAACCCCTCACATACTCAAATTCCTGCACCCTCACATCCACAAGCCTGTGGCTGGCTTAGTGGCCCAACCCTCCAACTGACCCCAACACTCCTGAGCCGGCGTCCCCTTCTCCACCTCCTCTTGCATCCAAATTTCCTCCCAGAGCTTGCATCTCTCACCCCTTCCTACACCCAAATCCCTCATTCCCACCCCAGAGCCCACACATCCTGTCTCAACCCAGTGAGGGTATGGCTAGACTGCAGGGGGTTTTCCAGGATTCCAGAGATATCCCGGAAAAACTCTTCTGCATCCAGGGATGTGTTTGTTCTTCCGTTTTTTTAGTGGAAGAGAAAACATGCTCTTTCAGTAACCCCTATACTCCTCGTTCCACGAGGAATAAGGGGGTTGCCAAAAGAAGAGGTTTTTTGGACATTTGGTCCAGTCTAGACAGGCCAAAGGTTGGAAAAATCTCTTTCCACAGAAGAATCAGAAAAAAAAGTGCAGTATAGAGTGTATAAGGGCTGGGGATAGCAAGTGATGGAGAGGAGGAAAATATAGAGGGCAAGGCTTCAAGTAAGTGGTGGGGTCTTGGGGGAAGGGGTGGGGCAGTAGATCTTCGCTTGTTCTGAGATTTAAAAAGTGATCTTGGGTGTATAAAGGTTGGAGACCACTGTTCTAGAAGTAGGGTAGAAGACTTTTTTCGTGGGAAGGAAAAGTAAACAGAGTGTTCAGTTTGACAGCATTCCTTAATGGAACAAGTTTATTGGTAATTTAGATACTCTTCTCCCCTACAATATTATTCCTGGCATGGCCATAATGGAATGGTCCACTGTAGTGGACAATGTTTCACTTCAAGAGGAATCTGACATTCAGAAGAGTTCAGCCATTCAGGTGCAGCTGCCTGAAGTCAACAAAAGAGGACTGGCTGGCAGAATGGTGACATTTTCTACTTCTCATTTCTAAAAAGCATTCTGAAATATTATTTCCTAGATATTGAGTTCAGCCTTGGAAAACCTTAGTCATGTGAATCCCCCTTACTCCTAAGTAGCTTTGTTGAAATCAGCAGAGCTATTTGTGCAAGAGTGTGCAGATACAGTCACAGTCACACGTTTGTATGGATTAAAAACAAGTTATTGGTATTTTAAAAACATTTAGTCTGGAATATAATCTGCAAATTCTAGTAAAGTCTATGCCTGTATCATAACGTGGCAAAGGCCTAAATCACTTCTCTCTTGCAAACAAAAAGAAGTTTTGTCAACAGCTAAAATGTTTTCTTCTTATTACGGACTGAACATTTACATACCAATAAGTGTAAGAAGAGCCAAAGAAAGTACTGCTGTAAGATGTATTAAAGGACCCCCTTATATTAAACCTATTCCTGTCACATTCAATGTTAAAGCATCTTCTTACAGAAGAAATTATTAAACTGAGCAACCAGTTAACTAAGAACATTAATGCATCCAACTCTAAATTTCCATTACTCTCTGCCTCAGCTGATTGCCAGGAAAGGAAAAAAACTCTCAGGAAGAATACATGTACTGCCAAGAGAACAGGCAGAGTGAACCTCAGTTTCTATCAGGCAGAAGATCAGATTAAAATACAACTACATAATTTCTTAAACAGATAACCTACCTCCTCCAGTCTGTATAATATAAATTCTTCCCATAGCTTGTAATACTAAAAGGATACTGAACTCCTTCAAGGACCTTTCGTCGACCAAGCTGACTGGGGTTCATACATTCCACCCTCTTGGTGCCTGTATACAGTAAAACAATTTAGTCTTTGTCTATGATAAATAGTTCTTTTGTGGGAGGGAAAACACAATGATATAATCAAAAGAGCATATGTAGAGTATAATTTCCTCAAAGTCCTCCTCCGCCCTACCCAGCGACATTCTTGTCCAGATCACATCTCCCTCTATGCCGAGAATTAAGGTTTTTATAAAGGTGTCTCATTTATTCCTATGTGCCCACTTTGGTATCAGTGTTTTATGCCTGTGGGACTCGGTTAGAGCCACAGAGGAAGGTGCATACAGCTCATTGTCTGGATGGTCAGTAGGATTAAAAGATTACAGCAACAGCTGCTGAAGATTGCTAGGAACAATTTGTGGGTATACGACAGGTTTTGCTCATGAATAGTGCAGGCCTGACCACCCTGGAGATTAAAAGATGACTTCTCCACAGAAGAGTTCCAGCATAGGGGCAACAGGGAACGCTTTTCCATAGTGCCTCAACAGTGTACTTTTACTCTAAGCTGGGGAGAAAGCAATTCTGTGAGTGTGAAGGCAGCTAACCCTAAGTTCCCATTCAATTCCATGCTTCTCTACTAGGGCAACATTCTAATAGGGCAAAATGGATGATCTGGGTAACTACAGTCTGGTTAGCCAGATATCAGTCCTGCGCAAAGGTAATGAAAAAGCTGATAATTATTAAAGAATTAAGGGATAAGAATGGAATGAATGTCAGTCAAAATGGTTGCCTGAGTCCTTCAGGGTGCGGGATGGTAGTGTGGCGGGTGCAGGATTCAGGGCAGGGCCTTAGAGATGTGTGTGAGGACAATACAGGAGGCTAGGGTGGTGCAAGAGTGAGGGCTGGGGAGTGAGGAGGGACTCAGAGTAGGGGGTCCCATTTGGCACAAGCTTAAGTTTTTAAAATGAACCATATGTGCCATTATTTTTTTGGCAACTATGGTGATTACAAAACTTTTTTTTTTTTGCATTTCTGTTTGCTGTCTACTTCCTGTATGCATTTTGAGTTTTCTATTTAATCTAGTATATATTTTAGAGAGTTTGATTGATCAAGAACACCTCCTACATGGTAAAAGCTAGGACCACTGAGGCAATTCCATTCCAGACACAACCAAATGCTTGTGTTGCTTTAAGTTATAATAAAAGGAAGTTGTATACTAAATCTGGTAGTCCTAGCTCTTACCATTTAGGAAGAGTTCTTCATCAAACAGACAAACTCTCCAAAATATATATAGATGACACATTAAATAGATGAAGACTGCTAGCTGGCAGATCTCAAAAGTAATTGTCAATTGGGAACTGTCATCAAGTTGGGGGTATTTCTAATAGAATTCCAGAGGGTGTGGTGCTAGAGCTGATGTTGTTCAACTCACCAGAAGTAAATATAAAATCACTGCATATACAATTTGTACATGACACAAAGATTGGGCCAATGGTCAATAATTGTGAAGCTACATGGCAGTTATACAGAACAATATGGTAAGATGTGCCCATTCAAACAAAAAAAAAGTGTTAATTCAGCCAAATGCAAACATATATGTCTATGAACACGGAATGCAGACCATACCTATGGAAAGGGGGCTGTATCCTGAGAAGCAGCAACTTTAGAAAGGATTTAGGGGCAACAGTAGAGAAACAACTCATCAGGAGCTCCCAGTGAAATGCTGTGAGGAAACAGACTAATGCCATCCTTGGATGCATAAATATGGGGGTAGCAAGGAGGCGTAGAGAAAAGATTTTACGTTGGTACATGACACAGGTGAGATGGACACTAAAATACTGCACACAATTGTGGTGTGCACATGTTTAAAATGATGTTGAAAAATTGGAACGGGTGCAGAGAAAAGCCACAAAATAGTATTCAAAGGCTGGAGAATGATTTAAGTCTCTCAGTAAAAGAAATGTATCTATTTAACTTATCAAAAAAGATTGAGAGGTAACTTTACTACAGTGTATATAAGTACCTTCACAGAGGAGAAAATACTGGGTATTAAAAGAGTCTAGTGGAGAAAGATATAACAAGTATGAATGGCTGCAAGCTAAAACTACACAAATTCAGATTAGAAATCCGGTACCAGTTTTTAACAGTGAGGGTGATTAACCACTGGAACAAGCTACTAAGAGAAGTTGTAAATTCTCTATAATTTGTTGCCTTCCAATGAAAACTGGATAGCTTTATGGAAGACATGTTTTAATCAAACACAAGTGACTGGGCTCATTCCAGGGATAACTGGATGGAGTTCTATAGCTTTTAATATACAAGTCAGACTAGATGATCTAATGGCCCTTTCTGACCTTACCCTCTATGAATACCCAATTCCCTATATCGAGGGCTAAATATGAATTAAAATATACTTGCTTACAGCAAACAAAAAATTAGTCTACAGCATTTGTAGCACTTTCTCTTTTCAGAACTAGAATCCTTCAGTTGGGGACCTACTTTTGGTGAATCAGCCAGAGAGAATATGTCTCTCAAGCCTGAGAAAAGACAAAGTCCAAACAACTCAAAGGATTTGTTCATGAGTCATGCTGTGAATCTTAGCACTTGTTACCGTGTGTAGTCTGTTATACATTATGATGACACATTTCAGCACTTCTCTTTACCTGCATCAACCCAGCACAGCATTGAGGAGTAAGTATCAAATGTCAACCCATTTGGTAATCCGAGATCATCTTTAACAAGAATCTTTCTGTTTGTGCCATCCATGTATGAAGTTTCAATTTTAGGAGCATCCCTATTCCAGTCAGTCCAGTAAAGATTTCTAGAAAGAAAGAAAAGGCAAAAAAGTTAAAATAGCTGATCAAGCACAAGTGTTGTTTTTTTAACATAAGGAAAACTTTTAAGGAAAAAAAAAAAAAGGAAATAGAGAACATTTAGACAGAGTGTCAGAAAGTAGCATATCTGATTTCAATAGAAGGGGATACTTGAAGTACAGTGAAGTGGCATCCGTTTAAAATTGCTTTTCCAGCATTGTGTAGAAGCTCATTTACCATGTGCACAAAAGAAAAATCTATTTCAACAATACAAAGTCAGTCCAGGTATAAATAAATTGCTCTGCAGAGTTCTCCTCCCCTCTACCGACTCTCAGGCTGATTAGTGGGAGAATTCAGCACACATTCATGGGTTTACCTGGGCTTAATTCAACACATATATATATATATCTCAGTATAACCGTCAAGCATATTTATCAACAGATCAAAATCAAAAGCAGCACTACCGAGTTTAGGGTGCTGTGTAGACACACCCTCAGTTACATCTCTTTTCACTAGGCCTGGATTAGGGCTGCAATGTTATGGTGCTGCTGCAAGAGGTCAGTGCAAAAGAAAAAAAAAGAAAAAAAGAAAAAGAAAAAGAAAGAAAAAAGACAAAATGCAGTTGGTGGGTCACCTTATTACACAGCTGGGGAACCGCTTGCTTACTTCATCATAATGAACATTTGTTTTATCCCTCTCGAAGTCACATATTGCTTGTTAATTCTGAGCAGCAGTTCTGGGAAGGTTATTTGTTATGGAGGTTACTTTATGGGTATGATTTTAATTGTTATATGCTGCTGAGGGTAAAGATAGGAATTTTAAACAATGAAAGAAATAGAGTCCTAAGAAGACATTAGGAAAAATGTGCTAAACGAACGAGATATTTCCATAAAATTCATAGGAACAAGTGAGTGTAATAGAGCAAATATGGACCATTATACAGTGTTCATCCCTTAGCACTTGCCACTTGTCTTTGTTTTTGTAGATAGACAACATAATGCACATAGGGCAGTTTAAGTCAGACCTTAAAATAAAACTGGCCAGGGCTTACGGGTGAGCACGGTAGCTGACATGTTTCATTACACAGATGAATTTTCAAACTTTTGGAAGAGTCTTGGTGTTTGTTAATTAGAAGGCTGTTCCGAGTATACCAGTGTCAGAAAAAACACAATTATCAGGTGTAGGTAAAGGAGACAGAGAGAATGAATGGGAAATGTGAAGGCCAGGAATAGATAAGGGCAGAGATGTAGACAGAACTAATCCAGTTTTTTGTAAGTAAGTAGAGCACTGGAAATATGGCTGCTATGTGGAAAAAAAACAGCAAGAAAATGCTTATTCTAATCCAATGTTTTAATTGCTAATAAAAAAGAATTACAGGCAGTCCCCGAGTTACGCGGATCCGACTTACGTCGGATCCGCACTTACGAACGGGGCTTTCTCGCCCCGGAGCTCGCAGGCAGTGGGACCGCCCAGAGCGCAGCGGTCCCGCCACCTCGAACTCCGAGGCGAGAAAAGCTGGGGACCGTCTCCAGCAGACCAGGGTCACCGGGAGCAAAGCCGCAGCCTTTGCTCCCGGTGCCTCTGGTCTGCTGGGGACCATCTCCATCAGACCAGGGACACCGGGAGCAAAGCCGCGGAGCACGCGGGCAGCCCAGACGTGCTGCCGCTGTCCCGCCGCCGGCGTGTTCCGCGGGCTT